TCTAAATTGAACATTAATGGTTCTGCATAATGCAGACATTAAATTTCTTCAGTAGTCCTTTAATTACATAGATTTCTTGTTGATCTATGGAGAATAATGACTTTTGTCCGTTTAAAAAGAGCATGAATGATATGTTTGTTATCCTAAAGTTTAGTATATTAAAGTGAATAAACATTATCTGCATTTTAATTGCCTACTTAGAGTTACCATGTAGTTAGACACTAACAATCAAAATGTCAAATCAGTTAAAACACCCAACATTAGAATATCACTGCTGCCACCCTCTTGTTCAGATGAGAAGTGCTTTCTCTGATGGTCTTGAAATCTGTATTGAAAAAACAAATAAACTAGTTGGTTTGACCAATAATAGTGCTGGCCTCCCCTGAACTAACCGAGAATGGTGGGAGTTGATTTAGTTTGAGATTTCATTGGACAACATGTGTGTTTAATGTAAAATAAATAAAGGATCAGTTAAAGATTGATCCAGTGTTCAAAGACAAACTCTGACCTCAAACACGAAAGCCAGTGAAGAACAAGGTAAGAACAATCTCTGTAGTCCTAAATATTTAAAGTTGGAACATAGTGTATAAATTTACAATCCTAAATGAGAGCTTAAATTATCAACGTTAATGTTTTCAGAAAACATTTGTCTGCTTTTTTCACCTGTGTTTTTATTTTCCCAGAATCATGAGGCACGTTGTATTATTTCATCTACTGATTCTTCTGCCAATGTTTTCAGCCTATGCTTACCGTAAGTTAAGAGTAAAATATGCATCTGTCTTTGGAAATGTTGCAATTGTGAGGAGCATTAATGTAGAAACACAACATTTTTAGAGTAACTTATTTCACCCTGGGTTTTTCTGTAGAGGAGCTGTTTCAATATACCACCTTTCCAATTCCTGCTAAACTTATGAGTCCATAAAGCTCTGAAAGTACATTAAGTGAGCAGATTGTGCATGTAAGCATAGGCTACGCATTTTCACACACGATTAAACACCTCTCTTTTGGTGTTCTCCACCCTTCTTTATTCTCATCTTTTTAAGAAAACATTTTGTGCCTTTTCCTTAACAATCTCATGCTTAGACATTTCTCTATTTGAGTACTCAGTCTGTTTCATATTTCACATCATTTATTGTTAAGCACATTGGTTTCATGCTTGTTTGAGTTAGTCAAATTTCTAAATTTAGATTGGCCCTGTAATTATAATCGATTCAATCGTTTACTAAACTTAAGTTCACAGTTTACTTCCCCCTTCTCAAAAATAAATGGACTTATCTCTACATCTCTACATTCTGCGCTGTACATCAATGGCAGCTGTTGGAGTTTTCTCTGGGGGGCCTCTAACTTCAAAATAGATGTATACCTAAAACCAGTCAAATGTATATTTAGGTATCACACCAGTATATTAACAACTTATAAAGTTTTCTGAACAGTGTTTTAAATCAATCATACCTGTCTTAATTGATTCTGGGTCAGACGATGACGTTTGAAAAAGGAGTCAGGGAAAGCAGAATAATGTGTCATGTAACGCTATTGGTGAAGCTTCACAATGTTATCAACAGTTAGTAGCATCAGTAGATTGGTTCGTAACGGACCCTTGGAGGTAAATAAAGACCAACACCAAATATAAAGTTTTAAATTGAAAAAATACTACTATTCACAACAAATGAAAACAATATTAACAGTTAGAAGAGGACAACATAAAATAAACAATGGGAAATGACAATTACTTTAAAAGTTCCATACTTTCAGTCCCTCACAAGTGTAAAAGATCCTTAAATTGAAATCTGTCCAAAGGGGAAAAAAGTCCAACACCAAGGAAATTCGTCACCAATCCAATGACAAACAAAACAGCTTTACTCGTCATTAAAGATTCAATATTTATCTTGCACATGTAAAAGATATATTGATATATTTCAAAATCATTTAATTTTATAATTGAATTTTTATTTCTTTCTTTTGGGGGTGAGGCAGCCCCCTAACAAACTCTTTTGGCCAACCTCCACTGACAGTACCGCTATACACTTTGAAGTTTTTGTTTACTATTTATTTCAATAATTATTAGTTAAATAATTACTCTTTATTAATTTTTTCTAGCGCAGATTTACTTCACTGCCAACCATCTTAGCACAACCATAAACTAAAACAAATAACAATTCAGGCTATGGGCTATTTAATTTATTGTGACATTTAAAACAAGTGTATTCTCTAGATTTTTCAGGATAAGTAGTCTAATGCAAATCTTCATCACACACCCGCATAAAATCCTTCTTGTTGCTCAACTAAGGGCTCCGTAAATAGGAAAAAAAAACATTAATGATTTCAAACTTCAGAAGTTGTTTTTATTTACTGAATGTGTCAATTTCTTCACCATAAAACCAACAATGGAGGATTTGTTTATAAAACTAAATAATTTCCTTCTTCTTCTCAGAAAATGTGGCTTTACGGGGCAAAGCTACACAGTCCTCCTACTCTACAGGAGACAATCAAGGTTATGTGGGTGCCTACAATGCTATTGATGGAAACCGCAATGCTGATCTTAAAAAAGGATCATGCACCCACACTGACGCTGAAAATAATCCCTGGTGGAGAGTAGATCTGCTGGATTCATACATTGTCACCCAGGTCATCATCACCAACAGAGGAGACTGCTGTGAAGATTATATCAACGGTGCAGAGATTCGCATCGGAAAGTCTTTACGAGACCATGGCTCAGCAAACCCCGTGTGAGTGATCATGTCATATATCGTATATCTGGTTTTTAAAAATGATATTGAAAAGTAAAAGACAACCACATCTTTTTACTTTTATGACTAACAATAATAATAATCCTATGAAATCTAGAATTTCACTAATACAGTTCTTCTCCTTTAGGGTTGCTACAATTTCCACTATTGCAGCTGGAAGTTCTTACACAATAAATATGACTAATCATGTGGAAGGTCGTTATGTGATGGTAATATTACCTGGTTTGAACAAGTATCTAACACTGTGTGAAGTTGAGGTCTACGGGTACCGTTCCCCAACTGGTAAGAATCCTTTTTAAATGGGAAAAACTATGATTTTGAACATTTACAACACTTGCAGAAGATCTGATGCATATATCTTCATTGGATTAAATTAGAATTAAATGATTAATTTCAAAGAGTTGTATGTGTAAGTAATCACTGATTCCACAATAAGCATTCTTGATGATTTAAAAATGCTAGAAATGTTCAGGTACATCCAGTTTATTCCATGCACAAGTTATCAGTTCCTTGTTAGCACACAATACAAAGAAAAGTAACAATGAAGCTCAAAAACTAGATATCCATTTCAAGTTTAAACCACAGCAGTTTTTTTTTTGACTGAAAAACATCTAAAACGGTATTATATATTTTACAACACAAACACCATGAAAAATATTTTGTCATCCTTGTGTGACCTGAGAGTAAGTAGCACTGAATATATGATCTTTAGGTGACAGATTTCTGATGTTTATTATGTTCTATATTCTTAACTTATTACTAGTCTTATTAGTGTAATTGTTTGTAGTAAGCAGTATTGTGTTTATTTTTTTCTTTAGTTCAATCCTGCATTCCATTTCCTGTATATTTAAGTTTGTTCCCTTTAGCCTGGCATTGATCTTTTCTCTTTGATTCAGTGTTTTGTTTATCTCTCTTCGTAACCTCTGTTATAATTAAGTGATTTACTTTTTGCCAGCTGCTCTACGTTATCATCTGAGTAACAAAATGGGATCCCGTGTCTTTTCACTAAGGTTACACTATAATTTCGTCTACTGATGGTCATTGTTCCCCACTTGATCCTCCCATTGATCTCCCCTTCATTATGTCTGTACTGCTTCTGAGTTGTCTGTGTTCCTTGTGCTGTTCTCCTTCTGTTCCTGTTTGCTTTAACATCAACCTATTTATGAAAAAACTCCTGTCTGTACCTGAGTCATAGTGCTGTTGTGAGAGTTTACCAGGAGATTACAAATACATAAAAAAATACAACTGGAAGTTATAGTTAATTAAAGGGGTCATAGATTGCAAAACCAAGTTTACATTGTCATAGATGAATAACGATGGTTCAGTTGGTGAAATGGACATACAGAGAAGTTCAAACCTCATCAACGTATCTTTTCTCTCCAAATCTTACAATTCTAAACTTCTACCATAAAACGGGCAAATCCAAACGAAGCACCGAATTGATATAAACTCGGGGCTGTTGCCGTATTTAATTCTTGAGGGTTCACTGTAGTCGACCAAAATCCCAGACGATTTTGAAATTCCCCCCGAAGATTGTTTTAGGTATGAAAAGTAGGACATTTCCAGGAAAAAGGGGACTGGTTACCCTGCCATATCAACAATCTTGATGTTTCAGTTAATGAGTGCTTGTTGCTATGATGCGTCTTTGCTGAGCAGCTTTGCTCATTGTAAACCAACCAATCACAGCACAGCTCATCTAAATATTCATGAGCATATCATAAAAGGAAGAAAACCTATCGTTTCATTCTCGGCCTTTTAACCAGGCTTGAATTAGGGCTCATAGAACAGCAAATATGCAATTTTCAGCCCACCCAATGTTACACACGCTATTCAGAGACCTTAAAGACAGCACCAAATACTCTGTATAATCTTTCTATGACCCCTGTCAGATGCTGTGGGATGATGGTGTTTAAAGCTGAACAGGAGTTCAGCAACAGCATCCACACGTGGGTGTTATTCTCCTGCAGGTTTGCTAGGCTCAGGTGAAGAGCAGAGGAGACTCAGTGGACCGGTTCCATTGATGGGCGAACTGGAACGGGAGGTGTTAAAAATATCTCTGAACATACCAGCCAGCTGTCCAGCGCACTCCTTGAGCACCCGCCCTGGTATTATGTTGGGGCCTTCTCTTGGGTTGTCTTCCACACGTCCGCTTTTTCAAGGCATAGTGCCTCCTCTCCATGATGGGTTTACCCAATCAGGGAGAAACCTACAAAGAAGTTGTTGAGTCCATTTAGGAAGTCAGCATCAGTATTTAGGAAGGCAGCATCAGCTACACCCATGGGGGGGAGAGGGTAGCTGATACTGTAGTCTGCAATTGCCCGTATGCTTTGCCACATGCTCCTGGTGTTGCTGGTGTCATGGAAAAGATCCTGGACTTTCTGGCTTTGGCTCTGCTTGGCTAACCTGATGCCACAGTTCAAGTTGTCTCTTGCTATCCTCAGTGCCTCTTTAACACCAAAAGGCTGAGTTCCATGCTTTTAGGGTTTGTCGAACCTCCTCAGTCACCCAGGGTCATTGGTTGGCCCAGGTGATGGTGCTCTTTCGGCGCTTTTGTTGCTGGTCACTCCATCTTCGCTGTTCTGTAAATCTGCTTGATTGTGGGTCATAACCTAACATGCTGGTTAGATGCATAGATTGTAGTGTACTTGCCGGCATATTTGGAAGAAAATGCTTGCAGGTTGTCGGGAGCTGCCGCCATCTTGAAATTCACCTCAATTTTAGTAAACTCTTCAGACAAGGGAAACCACAGTAGTCCTGGGGTAGTTTGCCAGTAAGTAACCATTAGAGCCTTGTCTTCTGAAAAAATCTGAAATTTCCTAAATTCAAAATTCCATTTATTTCTTTTTTTGTTGCTCATTAATCCATCAGCATTTCAGTCTCTGGTTGCTGCAAAGATTTATGATGGAAATGCGATAGAAATCACTTTCGATCAAGAAAACGAAAATCTATCTCTCGATATGTTTGTGTATAAAGTAAACACTTTTATCTATATATCTTTTAGGAACATATCTCATCATAGTATATAAAAAATGGTCATACTTTGAGTTTTAATGAAATGTATTCATAATAAAAATGTATTTTGTACTGATGCTAATATAGTATGTGTATGTGACAGCCATGCATCACTGCTGAAATAAACAATTTTGTTTTGCAGAAGAAAATGTTGCAGTTTATGGAAAAGCCTCGCAGTCAACAGTTTATCCTGCAGCCATTGCCTACAATGCTATAGACGGGAACCGTGAAGCTCGCTTTGACTTTGGTTCCTGCAGTGCCACAAATAATGACTTTAACCCCTGGTGGAGACTGGACCTGGGGAGAACCCATAAAGTGTTCTCTATTAGCATAACCAACCGGTTAGAAGTTCACACTCGAATTAATGGAGCTGAAATTCGTATTGGAAATTCACTTGTTAACAATGGAAATAACAATCCCAGGTAAGTCACTGTCAGATTTCTGACAATACTGACTAAAATTAATCATATTGCATATTTAAAATATGCATAAATGTTGTTTTTCATTGTTGTTTTTGTTAAACTCAAGTATTTTCTTCAATGGTTTCAATTAAACCTTTTCCTTCTACTGACAGATGTGCTGTGATCTCAACCATCTCACCTGGTTTTACTGAAACCTTTCAGTGCAATGGCATGGATGGTCGATTCATCAATGTTGTCATACCTGGACGAAATGAGTATCTCACTCTTTGTGAGGTGGAGGTGTATGCATCTAGACTAGATTAAATAAAACCTGGTTGGATTGAAACTTCATATTGAAATCAATGCTGAAATGTGTGCATGGCCAAGATGTCTGCTTGAGCTAAAGTTACCAGATTTAAAAACCTGATTGTTTAACAACTAAAACAATGATATATAATTAATCATTTTATAATTAAAATAATAATTTGCTATGCGGCAGGATGTTAATAAGGGTACTTAAAACCACTATGACCTTTTGAAGGTTAAAGCTGCAGGATTTATTCAAACCACTAAAAGGAGTGAAACTGTGATAAATAACTGAACAGATTAGTAAGATTTGGGATGGGACCTGAAATTTTAGGTCTGTTTAAACTGCTGATGTAATGATCTGGCCTGTTTGCTCTCCCTTAATTGGTAATTTCTTTCACCTGTCGTTTTTCCTTCCTGCCTCAATTATTATTTATTCCTCTCACCTGTTTCCTCTTGGTTATATTCAGTTCAGCCTGAGCATTCAGGGCCAGATCATTATTTGTTTTCTGTGAGTCTGTCTGTTCAGTATTATTTCATGGTTCATGTCCTGGATCCTAGCAGCCAGTGGAAAGAGGTTTTTGTGTTTGTCTCGTCTCCTGATCGTCCACTGTTCCTCCCCCATGGAGTCCTCTGGGTTTTTGGCTCTATATGTGGGGAGATTTAGTTTTTATCTCAGTAAGCCTGGCTCCAGGGAGGAGACCAGTTTAAAGTCCTGCATCAAGTTCTGGTTCCACGTCCTGTCTCGGCTACCCTCTTTCACTGAGCCTGCTCATCTGCACCTGATCCTGTCTGCTTCTGTGCATGACCACCTGGTCACGCTTTCGGACCCAGTCAGACTCTGAACCATCCTGGGAGCCTGTGGATGCCTGGAAGTCTGGATCCTGCCACCTGTCTCTGTTCCTGCCTGATCTGGATCCTGTTCCTGTCTGTTCTGGATCCCTGACCAGGATCGGCTTCCAGCATGACCTCTGGGATTGCAGCACTTGGGGACATTCTAGGACTGGACTAAACCAGAGGTCTGTGATAGGGCGGTGCCCCGCTCCCCATCCTGCTGTGTCCGCGGACCACAGCTCCACTTTAGTTTTTGTTTTATTTGATTAAACTTTTTGAACTTTCCTACTGACTGTCTCTCCTTGAATACTGGGTCCATCTGTCCTCGGTTCATGACAACTGATTTACCATTTACACATTTTGGGGAGTCTTTTATCAAAGCTGGGTCTGATTTTAAAAGATAACCAATGTAAGAAAAAGTAAGGAAAAAAAAAAGAATTTTAGTCTATTAAAATAAACATAGAGAGTTATGATGTCATATCTGAACAACCTGGTCTTACTCGGCTAAAAATTGTTTATTAATCTATCTCAGCCATCATGTTTAGTTTTCTTTTAGAAGTAAAGAACATGCCGTAGTGTATGGTTTCCTATCAAGAAATCATACGTTTTTACACATAATATATAGTTACAGTTCTGAAAAAAAAAGATTTTCTGTTATTTTTTGTTAAGATAAAAAATGTTCAAGATCTTTATTATTAGAGAATATTAAACCAGATCAAATTGGTTACTATAATCTTTATTTGGATGTCCAAGCGAAAATCAAAGAAAGACATATATATTAAACAAAGGAAAAGCAAATAGATATACTGTTATGAAGATCAGTTTGCACATACTGTAGAAAGAAATGGAAAAATAATGGAAAAAAAAATTGTAGATATACAAAAAAAGAATCAGAAAAAGGCATATATTACTGGTTATTTATCTGAATAAAAATTCTTGCAGAAAAAAATGTGGTCACACCACCATCAAATCAATTAAATGTTGCTTTATTATGCTATTCACCAAAGTATCTGTGAGTAATATTGTTATTAAAATAGAAATACAATTTAAGTACCTATTTTTGTGTTGTTAGACTTATTAGCTTTCTATCACTGCTAATTTATTTTATATTTACCTCAAAAAGGCTTGACCCCAAAGTTTTAAGACACTCAAGTGAAAAAATGCCACAGTTTGAGATCCAATTTGTGTTCAGAGTTCACATCTTACATCTATTTCTAAACAGCGGCTCAAAATCAAATGACAGATGAGATTATCGGCATGAAAGCAGTTCATATTGACAGAAGATGCTATGATTCCTGGAATTGCTAAGACCAATGAGCCATGAAAAGTCTTTGTTAAACTACCTGCATACAAATACTAAAGATAATCATCACATAGCGTCCTTCATTATAAGTGGAAATCTTAACAATAACTAACAGCTTTCTTTTCTTCTATTAAACTGGATTACAGCCTTCTACAACATCAAGATAGAATCTTAATAATCCTCTGTATTTCTCTCATGGGATGTTTTCCTTGTCTTCCTTGATTAAACCTCTATCATCAGAGAGCTTCTTCCATGAAAGAAGGGTGATACCCTTTATACTTGCATTCAGCTTTTGCGCCATCTGTGGTAAAGAGAGAGAGAGAAAAAAAATCTGATTTTTTTTTCTTTACCAATGCATACACATATATTATGCTGAAACAAAATGACCTTCACTTATCACATAAACGGCAGGAAAACTAACTTTCTCCAACATGCTTCTTTGAATTGTAGGGTCATTTAAATCCAAAGTTGAGTGCTGGAAGCTGATCCTCAGTTTTATGAACTGCAGTTTGTTTTTTGCTAGAAGGCAGAATAAAGCCATATCACCTGTTTGACCGTTTATTTGTTTGGCATTTTCTTCTATAGTAAATTTGGCATTTAATGCATGTTTTACTTACTGCATTTGCAGAGGAAAGGATGCTCCTCTGCGCATTTCCTGTCTCCCCATTTACCAGATTCAGTCTTCATCATAGCGACACAGGATTCAGAATCTTGTGCATAAATCAGCTGAGATTCTCTCCAGTACCTCAGTGAGGAGTCGCTCAGGTCTGACCACTCCCAGGGATCTCTGAAGAGACCAACATATACTGTCTTCCCATTGGCAACATTCTGGACTGTCTGGTATTCATTCTCATTCCTCAAGCTGACCAGGTCTGTGTATGTTTTTCTGCAAAAATCTCGACTAGCGGTCCAAGTCATCTGCTCTGGAATGAGGACGTACTGAGCTGCTCCTTGTTTTGTTTCTGAAAATTTAAATTGTATTAAAATTCTGTTCCTTAAAGGGAATACAAGATAATGTACAATTTGCCTGTGACATCAGTATTTTTGTTCAGTGTGGAATATTTCATCCACACAAATATACAACAAATTGCTTTTAAACAGTTTTCCAATCAATCCGTCCATGATGGGAAATTTTAAAAGGATTGCTTACTATCAAAGCAGATGGAATGACTGCTGACTGCACAGGACCTTGTAGAAAGTTGTCCATTACTCAAAACAACACAGTTATCTCCACCTTGGTTGCCCCATTTAAGGTTATTTTTCTCTCCATCCTTGTAGAAACCTTGGTCTACTAGAGACCAGTGCCACTTTGGATTATTTCCTTTGTGCAGCCCAATCCAGACTGCATCAACATAGTTGTCTGCAACAGTTTGAAGAGCCATTTTCATCTCCTCCATGTCTTCCATGGTGGCCAGGTCAATGCATGTTTCTCTGCAGAAACTCTGTGCCTCATTCCAGGTTTTTGGAGTGTTTTGTAAGACATATTGGTGCCGATACAGACATAGAGAAACAGAACACAGTCCTGTAGAAGAGAAGTAAGAAGAGTACAGATAATTCATAATTAGTTGTTAAGTTATTTTTCTTTGAAGATGACAGTGATTTTGTCTTGTTAGTAGAATAAGAGAAAATTAGAAGTTTCAGAAGTACAAGTTTGGAGAAACTGACCTGTTAATATCAGTAACTTAATGACGTTTCCCATGGCTTCCATGAAATGAACGGGAAGAAAGAAAACTGGGATTAACTTTAGCTGAAGGGTATATCTGTCCCCCAATTCCTGAAACCTAAATAAATACTTAAGAAAAAAGAAATGAATTAGAGTGTGAAATATTTATTTTTGCAATCATATTACTGAATGATTATAATATAACTAGTCACCTATTGCATAACTTTTTCATGATTTTCATAGTTTTGCCATTTTAATAAACAATAAACCAAGAAAAAATAACACAAAATGAAGAATGAAAAGTACAAATTTGAGATGAGAATGAATATTGATATCTTCATTAACTGTTTTAATGTAAACATTATCCAAAGCAACTCTGTCTCTATCAATAATGAGCAAGGCTTGGAGGGAAAAGTAACAAATGTACACAGAGTCATCTAGGGTTATTCAATAGGGTTTCTCCACCTTGAACTACTGCAATAAATCTGAAAGGAAGGTATTATTACACTTGTCCAAAATCAAACTTTAATGTCTCTTCTCATTCTGAACTGGATTTGAACCTCATTGAGTGTAATCCTCACACTCTCCCAACTACTGCTATCAGGGAATAGCTTTAAAAACAGCTTTTCGTCACGGTATATGTCATCTTTAGAACAGCTGACATCAACTCTCCTTTTGTAACAACTTTTCTTTTTTAACAATCTAAAGGTTATAATTTATAAGTCAACAACTACAAGTTTTAAAGTTTAGAGTTTTGTAAAAGTATAAAATATGGGCATCAATGTAGACATACACATGCAAAAAGTCATATATTTGAGCACATCTAACACTGCATATTCCAAAAATTCTAAAAGAAAAAAAAATGTTTGGATTATCTTTGGATTATTGGAAAATCATAACGACCAAATTTAAAATTTAGAAAGACTCTTACCTGATTTATTCCAAGTTCAACGTTTACCAACAACTCAATATTAACTTTTGAATGACTGTTATGTTATCTTTAGCAGTACTCCCATGTAAGTGTATTTAATCTTTGTGCAGTGGGTGCTCAGTAAGAGTCTCTTCTTATATGAATAGTCTTGCTTTTTATGTAAAATAGTATGAAAACTACAGGAAAGACCAAGCATTTACAGTCCGTCCCTCACTGGTTTTATATCAGATTAAACAAATGCTGTCTGAGGTCATTTAGGATGACCAACATTTGTATTTCCTAGATGAGATACTGAGATTTTATAGCAAAGTAACATACATAATATTGTTCTTACACAGCTAAAAAGGAGCACCTGAAGGAAGATAAAACACTAATACAGTGGAAAAAAGTATTAGCCTTCAACACAAATAAAAAAATCTCTCCATGTTTTCTCTTGACAAGATTTCTTGAATTAAGATCATAGTGTAAATTGGAACTTAAAGAAAGGAAAAATATAAATATACCTTTATTTGTTACCTTTTCACTTGTATGACCTGATAACAGTGGACTTATTTTTCATTTATGGTACTATATATTTTTAAAAACCTTCTGCACTTAACATGTTAATACCTTACCATCACAACCTAAACCTTGTGTCTGATGTTAGTACCTTTGTCAGCACCTTACAGCTGTTAAAAACTTCCAGACCACCTCTCCATCAATTTGCAGCTTTTGGTCTGAAAAATTTAAGACCCCTGCTATAAGATAGTATCTCGAAAAAGCTTCCTTCTTATGTGACATCTTAGAAAGATGAACAGAAATCTCCATCTTTATATTTCAAAACGGCTTGGGTTAAATTTCCAGATGATTGAAGATGCCATATTCATCAGTTAGTATAATTATAAGCAAGTGTAAACAAAATTGGAAAGTATTTTTGTAGTGAGAAGAAATAAATCATTAGTGGAGTTTGACAACAATGACCAAGAACTTGGCAGTATAGAAAGACCACCTGAAGTTTAAAAATGAGGGTTGTAGCCCAATTCTGTTTTTTTTTTTAGGAAGAGATAGTGTATTTAACATTGTAAATGTCATATAAAGCACAGAACATTTCATGGAAATTTTAAGCAATAACTCGAGAGACAAGTGAGGAAGTTAAGGCTTACACACTAATGAGTCTTCCAAATGAAACCCTAATGATTCTTTCAAATTACTTCCAGTCTGGCTTACAGACAGACAGAACAAGCAAATGCTTTGAAATGGTCATCAGAAAACCTAAGTGTCAGTTTCACAGAAAATTTTACTCCTGGGCTAAAAATGTTTGTACTGTTAATAAAAACTGGACTCGGTGACACCAGTAGTATCAGAATGAATAGGCCAAAACTCCAAGTATTTTAAGATAATGGGCTATTCAGTAATTCCATTAACAGGCATCTATCATAAGTTTCTCAATTTTCAGAAAATCTACAATTTTCACCCACAGTAGAAGTGGGTTTAAATTGGAAATTGCTGATCCTGATTGCCATTGTTGTGGATTGGTTAAACTGGATAGGCTGGGAGGAATCCTGATATGTTGAGCTCACTTCGTGATAAGATGTCTATGCATGGTCATACATACAGTCTGTGATACAGTGAGAGCCACACTCCCGCGGATAGCACAGCCAACACCCTCTTCTAGAATCTGGCATACATATGCCAGTCCGGACCATGAAAACCTGAACTGCTCATGAAAGTAATTGTCATCATGATACAAAGAATCTTCTCACAATTTGGATTCTGATTTTTATTTTATTTTTATTTAACTCATTATATCGGTAATACAAGAAACAAGTGAATGCCACTGGTGTATAAGGACATTATAGAGGAGGAAATAATTACAGAATTGTAAAAGGTTTGCACTGTATATCAAAACATAGAAAAAATACAAATAAATGAATGAATAAGAACATATTTTGTTTTAAGTGATTTTTGGTTTTCAAATTTGTTTATTGTTATTGGGCTCTGAAATAAATCGGGACTTCAATTAAAGGGTATGCCATTTTTCCCTGAACAGCTGATTGGCTGTTGAGTGGAGTGTTTTCTAAGATTCAAATATATCCTGAAAGCTAGCCTTCCCCCGGAGCAGGTTTGCCGTTCAGAGTACGTTACCATGGCGACTCGGTAAGAATGAATCCAGCTTTGAGGTACCGGAAAGTCAGGGTTAAACCTGAAGTTCTCTCTCTAACCCAGTAATCCTGCTCTGTGGTACAGGCCTCTGGAGTTGCAGCCTTTGCTGTTGTGTTATGTCACAAAAATAAATAAACTGTAATGGAAACCTCAGCGTTTACACCTTGAATCTTTCTCTCCCCAACTCTTTCCTGAGAAGAAATCACTCTGGACAAACTCTTTGAATCACACTTCATAATGTATATGTATTAAATAACCATCAGAAATTACAACAGATTTTGATAGAAATTTCAATCTTATTCTACAATTCTACAATATGTTCTACAATTAAGTACACTGCTCTTATTCTGTTCCCAAATCTTTGCCAGGTACATAATGAATAGACTATTTATCCTGACAGAAGGTACTGTCCTAATAAGATACACTGCTGGGGAAAACATACGTTTTGATAACAGGCAGATATTATTAGGGTTTAACAGACTCATACATCGTCAATAAAAATACTCCTATCAAAACAGACTAAAGATGTATAGTGCTTGAAGCAAAACTTTCTAAGTTCCTAACTTGATAATTAAATTGGAAGATTGTTAGCAAATAAAAATCCAAGATGACTGCGGTGTTATTTAAACAATTAATGAGAGCCATTTTTATTTTTATTTAACCTTTATTTAACCAGGAAGTCCCTTGAGATTGAAATCTCTTTTTCGAGGGTAATGAGAGCCATTATGCATGGATAATGTAGAGTCGTATATTATGATGGCTAAATCTTTTTTATCGTAGGTTGCACATATTTACATACAAATGAGATTGAGTAGGAAAGCATGTTATTTCTAAAAAAAAAAACTTAACTGCTAAAAAATGAGCCATTAAAAATCTTTTTAGCTCCTACAGACAGATTTAGTAAAGATAAATTTTACATAAATTCCTAACAGGGTTATTCTTAGTAAATCAGGCTTTTTAACCACAGCAAACAAGTTAGTGTGTTTTTATGATGACAGAATCTTGGCAGTCTTCTGTATTCCTCTCATGGACCGTGTTCCTTGAATTTCCTCAGACCTTTCCAGGAAAGACGGATGATACCATTTATGCTTGCACTCAGCTTTTGCTTCATCTGGGGTAAAGAACACAAAAATAACTTTTTAACAAAAAAAATACGTTCACATATAGTTTATGCTTAAATAAAATTGACTTGTGCTTGACACATAAACATCTGAGACACTAACTTTCTCTAAGATGTTATTTTGCACCATAGCGTCGTTCAAATCCAAGGTTGAGTGCTGCAAGCTGATCCTCAGTTTTACAAACTGTAGTTTGGTTTCTGTTAAAAGGCAAAATAACGCCAAATCATTTGTAATACCCCTTATTCATTTGTCATATTCTTCCATAGTTTTGTATTTAATGTGTGTTTTACTTACTGCATTTGCAGAGGAAAGGATGCTCTTCTGTGCATTTCCTGTCTCCCCATTTGCCAGATTCAGTCTTCATCATAGCAACACAGGATTCAGAATTTGTGGTTTTCATCAGCTGAGATTCCCTCCAGTACCTCATTGAGGAGTCGGTCAGGTCTGACCACTGCCAGGGATCTCTGAAGAGACCAACAAATACTATCTTCCCATTAGCAACATTCTGGACTGTCTGGTATTCTGTGTCATTCCTCAGGCTGACCAGGTCTGTGTAGTTTTTTCTGCAAAAATCTCGACTAGCGGTCCAAGTCATCTGCTCTGGAATGAGGACGTACTGAGCTGCTCCTTGTTTTCTTCCTGAAAAGTGAAATTTGACCCTTTATTTCTTAAAACAAAAGAAATAGCGGGCAAGCACCAAGAAGGGAGGCATATCCTAGTTTTTGTTCAGCTTGAAATATTTAATTCACACATCTATACCATAATTAATTGATACATACAGTATAGGTATTACTGGACAGGACATCAGCGTGATACACAGGAGCCATTGCTATGCATTGAATCAGGGCTGCTGTAAAAGCATCAGTTTATACCAGTGTATAAAACAGGTTCTTTTTAAGTCAAACTATCAGAAGCAGAATGACATATTGCTTTGAAGTTTTGACCTGAATGTAATTGATTTAAAATTTAATTTTCAAAAAATCAAAGGTATGCCATGAACAGTACTATAGATTTTAAATAGCAAAGTAACTTTTAAATAAAGGTAAGAAAATGATACACCACAAGTAAATTAATATTAATAGTTGGTAATTTTTAATAGAGTTTAAGTAGCGTTCAGAGACTCAGTATTTCTGACATTTTATCCTTAACCCAATGTTATATTAGTTATATTGAATAAATAAAAAACTTGAGCTATTATAAATCAACTTATATAATCTAAGAAGCCCAGTAGGTACACCTGTCAACAATGGGTGCATTTAAATTAACCATCAAATTGTAATTGCAAAAATAAACTAGTTAAATAGAAACACTGCAATGAAAAAAATTCCCATTTTGTTGATAAAATGTTTTTCCATGCTTCTATGGGGTGTTCTTCAGTCGTATCGAAGTTCTTATATTTAGTCACGGGATCTGCAACCGGAGCTTACTGCCTTGTGAAAAGACGAAGAAGAAAAGAGAAAGTAGTTTAAGGGTTATGCTAGACGTCCAAACCTCCACCCTAACCGCTATATAGAGCACTATACAGAGTTTACGTCATGGTATAAGAGCGTTCAAATGTCTAGCGGATGAAAAAGCAGTGCACTCAAAATTTCGCACAATTCCCCTTTCAAAGTAGTGTACATCGATGATCACTAGAAGAGCAGATATATCCAAGAAGCACTCTCCTCGCAAAGTATCTTGGGATTTGTTTTGGGTATGAAAAAGAACAAAGATGGCGCAGACACCATGGGAGAAGCTGATGTCCCTTGACCAAGGTGGAGCAAAACTTAGTGGTCATCTGTCCGTACGGGCAGTTAACTAAGTGCACTATAAAGTCCACTATATAATCCTTGCTCTATATAGTGATTGAGGGATTAGGGCTTAGGACGGGTCTTGGACACCGCCATGAATATGTCTCATGTGTTTACATCCGCCACATTGTTTTCAGAGGTATCGCATAGACAAACGTTCACTCTTGCAATTGCAAAGTTTACATTTTTGAATTTAGCAAATTATTGATAGCTTTGAGCCTGTTTTTAATGGAAACACAGTTGCAGTAATGCAAAGTTCCCACACTGTTTATGAATGTATGCTGAGGGAGGGTATATATTTTTATGTATGCCAACGTTAGTAATTTTCTAACTTTCAATTTGAGCCATTTCATATTTTAAAAAGGGTGCTTGCCGCTTTTTAAATACATGCTCATTCCACTTTAGAACAGCATGGATTATTTGACAAAAGTCACCAAATGAGAAAGGTAGTATTGTGACGATTAGTTAGGAGTTTTCCTTACCAGAGGTATTAATGTCATGAATGTAATAAAAACCATTTCAAGCTGGATGCGTTAGTTCAAATTAAAGACCAAAGTGTCAACCAAACTGGTTGGAAAATGAATGGAAGTACATTGCTATCATAATAAGGAAAAACACAACACTTACTGAACGCACTGAATTAAAGGAGGACTGTAAATTAGAGCCTAATGAAATACTATCAAGGAACAGCAACTATGGTTCAAATGGGAATGTTACATGTTAATAGGACCAACTTTCTAAATAATTACTTACTGTCAAAGCAGACTGAAAGTCTATTACTAGTGCAGTCATATGTATGAAGTGCCCCATTAAGCAAAACAGCACAATTATCTCCACCTTGGTAGCCCCATTTAAGGTTATCCTTCTGTCCATCTTTGTAGAAATCTTTTTCTGCGATAGACCAGTGCCACTTTAGTGTACTTCCTCTGTGCAACCCAATCCAGACTGCATCAGTGTATCTATCTGCAACAGTTTGAAGAGCCATCTGTATTTCATCCATGTCTTCCATGGTGGCCAGGTCAATGCATGTTTCTCTGCAGAAGCTCTGTGCCTCATTCCAGGTTTTTGGAGTGTCATATAAGACATACTGGTGCTGATGCACACACTGATAAACAGAACACAGTCCTGTAGAAGAGAATTAAGAGGTGTACAGACAAACAATGAGTAGTTGGTAATATTATTGTCCTTGTATGTGTTATCTAGAGAAAATGACATTGTTAGAACGTAATAAAAATAATAAAAAAGGGAGAAGCACTAACCTGTAAGCATCATAAACTTTATGACATTTTCCATTGCTGTTAAGAAGCATATGAGAAGAGAGAGAGAACTAAAATAAAATTCAAAATACAGAAAACGTCACATAATTACATCACAGTGATGTATAAAAGACATGGGGAAATACAGACAGAAATTGTAATATTGTCAGGGTTCTGCCCATTGCTTAGGTTTATTTTTAGTTTCTTTGTGTTCTGTGTCTTTGCTGTTGATTTCTACCAGTGTTGAGTCTTTAGTTACCCCCTGTTGCCCCTTGTGTGTGTTTTCTTTCCCCTTGGCTTCCTCATTGTTGTCTTTCCCACATTTTCTCCCAATCTACTGATTAGCCTGTCTTGGTTCAGTCTCCCATATATACACCACCTCTGCAGTCACTCAGTGCTGGTTTTTTGTTTTGTTGATTCCTCACCTCTGGCTCCCCACGCAAGTTTTCCTTTATGTTATCTTATGTTTTGTTCTCAGTATTTTGGATATTTTGAATTTCTGTCTCAGTTGCCTAATTAAATCTGCAAGACTCACATCTGCCCTCCTGATCTCTGGGGTCCTCAAAACCCTCCACTCAACCATGACAAATATATCTAACTAACAAATGTTATGTATTTAAAAAAAAAAGTGTTTATGTATTGCCTTTTAGGTTTGCATTTATAAATGCATTCACAAATGGGTATTACAATATTTGTTAAAAACAAATGTGCAATGAACCTGACTCCAATATAAGCTTATGAGCCTCTTTTGGAGTCAGGTGCATTAAAACAGAAACACATTTTTTAAGTTTAAGGACACCAGCCCTTGAGGGCTGAAGTTTAGGACCACTGATTATCTTCAAAATTTGAATTTAACAAGTTGGAGGGACATAATCTCCCAGCTAAATGACTTCCAGTTTTCTGCTTGGTTCCTCCATAGCAACCGTCACCTCTGTTACAACCATAATAATGAAAAAACCCTTATTTAAATGGTATTCCTTGCATATTCACTACATTGACATATACAGTATCATCCTCTAAACACAAGTAGCATCTGAGTAACCAATTTAATGCTACATTTATATAATAAAGAACTAGTGTAAATGGTTAAGATGCAAAAGTTTACTGTTCATGCAAGTAGCTCTCATCTAGAATGCTGAAATTGGGTACCATTCTGTTGTACCAAGTTTTGGACTTTTAATTCTGGAGCATTCCTGTTAAAAGTCTGAGTAAAAAGGGTGGAGAGCATTACTAAAAAGTTTTTAAACATATACAACTGATTCCTGACAGTGACAAGTACATCAGCTGTGGGATAAACTATTTTAACTCAATCTAATTAAGACTGCTTTAACCCACTATTTCAACATTGTGATGCTACGTTCACAGCGAACACAACTTGAGCAGCAGAGGAATGCAAAGTCTATGGTCAACGTGCATCAAAAGGTCCATCTTGACACTTCTGAGTATCTAAAGGGGCATGACACACTTCAAAGGCAGCAGATGCTGGAGGTTGAAAAAGGAAACTTTTGTTGCTCGATGCGCAACATTAACCAATCAGAGAAGCTGATCTGGGAGCTGGCCTGGAGTCAGACATGCAGAATGTGACAGCCCTGCTGTGCTGTCGGGTGAGCATATGTGTTAACTGCCTAACTTAAGAAACATTTAGCAAAAAGGCATTAAAATTAATTAAAATTATGTATGTATTTAAAACTCTTCTAGGTTTTCATAAAGGCAAGAATATTTTTTTATGTACAAAGAAAAGTGAGCGAATGATCATTCAACCAAAACAGCCTATTAATGCCTGAAAAACGGCAACATCTCCTTCTTGCTGGAACGAACAGTAGCAGAAAATTCCCACGAGGCAACCCAGCCGTTGCTGGATTCCCAGTGACAGCGCACCGCCGGTATGTGTAAATGCACTGGTACAATGTTTTAAACTGGACTTTCTTGCTTAAAAACATATTTAACTACTTTTCACTAACTTGTCACAGCAAATATAGCAAAGCCCCTCTCTGTCATTGAATAAAGGAGCAACACATGCATCACATGCATCTGAACACACTTTACTGGACGCGCTTCAGGAGCATCAAAGATGGTCTTGAGGTGCATCTGACCTTAATGTGGACAAGCATCAAAATTGAAGCAGCAGATGCTTCTTCGCTGCTCAAATCGCATTCAGTGTGAACATAGCATTAGCATCCTTTACTGTGTTGAAAAAAAACAAAGTAAAAGAAAATAAAACTTATCTGTTGATTAAAATTGTCAAAATATATTTTAAGTTTCAGAAAGAGTATTACTTTTATCACTATGAATCCTACCTTCCAGGAAAATGGTGGCAGCTGGAAATAAGCTTTTGAATAAATCCTTAAGCTGTGTTTAATGATGCTAAAAAGCAGTGTGTAATGGATGTTGTGAGGCAGGCAGGTCTTAAAGGATTTTAGTCTTCCTTTGTATGTAAAGCAGTATGAAAATGAACAGCAAGGGCAGGGGTCTCATTTATAATTCATGCACACACCCAGAGCAGTGCCTGAAAACCTCTTCATGGGAGTCTGTATTCCCATGAAGAGTTTCTAATTTATAAAAAAAAACAAACTGCATGAAAATCTGTGGTCCCTTGGGCAAACTCTGACCCATCCGTATGGGTAATTCAATTCAATTCAGTTTATTTATATAGCGCCAATTCACAACACGTCATCTCAAGGCACTTTACAGATACAATTCAACCAGATCATACAGTCAAATTGATACAAAGTTTTCTGTCTAAGGAAAACCAGTTGATTGCATCTTTGACTCAAAGGCAATCCCTCACATCAAGCATACTCATAGTGACAGTGGAGAGGAAAAACTCCCTTTTAACAGAGTAAGCCTACACCACTTTGGAGAGAGGATAGATTTACAACACAGATGGTGACTGAGGTAGGGAACCTGAGCCATATTCCACATCAGACTCTGAAGGTGTCATAATGATAAATAGTTTTATATACTGGAGCTGCCAAAAATATTCACCAAAGCTGATTTTCCACCCCTTACATAAAAACCTGTATGTATTTTGTTGTTTTTCTCTTCTGTTCTCCTAGCTGTGGTTGCCATTGGTAACCATTAGATAACATTGATCAGCTGAGTCATTTAAATACACAATGATAGCAATGCAGGGGGGCTGAACATAAGGTGGAGTCTTGGATAGCTAATTTTAGGCACAGCTATGATTTTTTAATAAAATTGTGGTTTTGTGCATGCACATGGTTTTATAAATTGCAATTTTTTTTAATGATTTTTATTTCCTCTACTCAGGTGTTTGGTGTACAGACACAGGCATCCAGCGGGGGACTAAGCAACCAAACCCGACCCAGTGACGGTAGCCTGGACACCGGCGGCCCGTGCTTCCCCCCACCTGAAGCTGTCTTTGGTAAAATGCTTAAAGCAAATGCACAGCTGAGCATCAAACTTTGCAGGGATCTTCTGATACACAAACATAATCCATGCCTGTCGAGTCTTCGGAACCTTGGGAACACTGTGAAAAATTCCCCCTTCCTCCGTGTAGCCTGGAACACTGCATTTACGCCCGTGGCCCTGGCTCATTTTCAATAGAGAAACTTCCTGCTTTGTAATTCCTGTAGAAGTAAACCCAACTGTAGGATAAACAGCTTTGCGACGTCCATTCATGTTCTTCACCATACTGGGCCAGTGAAACAGTAGGCTGGTCTGTATGTAAATTTTGGGGCG